AAAAAAAAAAAAAGAACAGGAAAAGCAAGAACAGAATCTCCCCTGGAGCCTCTGATATAAAGTGAGCATGGCTCTGCAGATTTGTAGCTTCTGGTTTTCCAGAACTAGTGAAAGAATTCATTTCTAAGCCACTCAGTTTATGGTCATTTACAGAAACTAACATGGAATAACTGACTCTAGAAAATCACTTGAACTCAGCTTCCATGTCCATGTCCTTCACATACTTGGGGGAATAGGACAATGGCAGAAAAGGCTAAGTTGCCAGAACATTTCAGACGGGTATGTGGTTGTCTTATATCTCCCAGTTGATTCCAAAACATGGCTTCCCCTCCTTTGCAGAAGACTGCTGTAGAGTTAGAGGTTAGGCAATGTTATAAAGGTGGCCAACTCTGGACTTGCTTGGGTTGGTATTAAAGAACTACAAGAGTTAGGAATAAAAATTAAGGATAAGTACAAAACATAACACACTGATGTCATAAAGCAAACTTCCCTTGAGGCCATTTTACCAAACTGAGTTATCATGTCTACTCTTGGAAAATTAAGAGAAGGTCCAGGCAAGAGGAATTAGAACGGTTAAAAAGAAAATGCAGTTTGCAGCACAGCATCTTATAAACCATTCTCTTTTTTCTTTGCCATATGACAGTTATTCCAAAATATGGAAGGTTAAAATGCCAAGTAGCAGTCAACCAACACAGAGTTTGAAAAGCAAAGAGAAAATAAAATGGGATAATAGTTGGTTTTTCTGTATTTTATGAAATCAGCATGGTCTGTAGGTAGAGATGCCCGTTAAATGTTATGTAGTTATGTACTGAAGTATAAATTGCAAGTTGACTTTTATAGCCCACATTGTCCTATTTAAAAGTTTAGCTTCCAACTTTGCAACCTTGAACTTAACCCTGTGTGTACTAGGATTCACAACTTTGCAGAGAGCAGTGGAAGTTAGGAGACCTGGGTTCTGGACTTGATTCCACCGTAGAGTAACTGTGACTCTAAAAATCACTTTAACTCTTTGACCTTCCACTTCCTGCTGTCAAATTGATGCCATAGGACTTTTCCCGTTCATGAGGATCTAACATGAGGAGGTTTGCTTGCAACAAAACCCTACTGGAAATTTCCCCTATTTTATCCACTACATTCTTTCTGGAATGTCATCCATAAGTCCATATTTAGTGGGTCAGAGAGCAGACAATCAAGATTCACTATACTTCTTTCTTCTTCAGGAACCTGGGAAGAAGCTTTAAGGAGTCTCTTTAGTTCTCCAGGCAGCCTGGATAGCACATCAGTATTCCCATTTTGTATGTAAGACCACCAAGGCTAAGAGTTGGAACAGTTTACCCCAGGCACTCCATCTTAAGGAAAAAAGGACCAGAATTCAAACCTAATCTCTTCTTCCATCAAAATGCAAGCTCCTTCCTTATAGTCATGCTGTTGCGATCATTTCTAAAAAATTAAAACAAATAATCAAAATAAAATTGGAGGGATAGGTTTGGATTCTCAGGCTCTTACAACACAGATTTAGCAGTGTGTGTCTGTTTCTCTTGGAAATTTTTTATAAAGTACAACCAGTGAAGACATGTAAGTAGAGGACTATTACTAATTGAGAAGATCCCTACATGGGAATATGGATAGAGTGGGTCACTAAAGAAATTCAAAACTACCCAGAAACCAAGAAGAATTTCTGCTTAGTAATTTGAAAGTTTTCTAAGTTGAGTAGTCAAGGAGACAAATTTCTCTTTAAAAAAGTACTTACTATATGTGACCTTTAATGAAATTCAGTACAGAACTAAGTTTCATGTGTTACTGGACTTTTTACAGAACAAAAGGGCAGTGACTAGCATTGAAACACATACCAGATTTGTGACTAGGTGCTTCTTAAGCCACCCACTTTCAGTCAGAGTTCTCTGACTTTCGACCAGTGGGCATTATTTCAATGTTCAGTGTACATTTTAACATATCTTCCACATGAGGAAGACTTTAAAAGTATTTTGAGATTTAAGTTACAGATGCCCTTTCTTATAGAAAGCAACTAACACTGAAGCCCTAGAGTTGTTAGATAAGAAAATATCAGATAATATGGCTCCAAATCACCCTTACTGGTAGTTCTATTAATAAATTCAGTTAAGATCCAAGGGTGACATTTTTTTAAGGCTACTAAAAGAAGTGATTTTTTGGCATCAGTGAGTCTCTTGGCTGTTTCTAAATGCTGCCAGAGCTAGGATGATATTTGTTTTCTCTTTGTCATGGTGTTTACATGCCCTGTCTTAGGCCACGAGTGAAATGCATTTTATGATGTCTTGGTCTCACCCAAGCCCTAATGGATGTTTGTCTAAATGACAGCACCCAGTTTAGCACTGTTAACACTGTAGTTAGGAGGTTGGGGAAGCATGTGCTACATGTGACAGTCCAGGACATAAATGGTAAGATTGGAGATCTTCTGCTAAATGAACACTTCTTCCTCTAATATCCAGTTCTGGAAGGACCTTTTTGTTCTGTCTTCCATAGTGCCTTAGTTTAAGAGTCAGACCATAAATATTCACTGAGTCAGAAAATCTCAAAACTTGATTATTGCCCCCTGTAAATGTAGTTCTGGACTTTCTCTTGGAAACACAGATTTCTCAGCCTTGACAAGGACAAGCTTATGACAGTTGAATAGTGTCATCCAGGATGAGAATGATGGGCTGCTGTCTGGGGTCAATTTCTGTGGCATCATGCACAGCATCCCTTTTGTAGGTTTGATTGTGAGTTTGATTAACATAGCAAGCCACTTTCCAGATATGCCTTCCATGGAGTATTTAGCAAAATGCACACACATTTCTATTTTGTTCACCATTGTCCTGAGCACTGTATGTGGATGTGTTGGACTCAGTGGGACCTTTCAGGAAACAGCAGGATGATACTAGGCAGAGCATGACAGGTCTTTAGAGGGATGTGCCTGCTCTAACCCAGGCCCACAAGCAGACTGTGGATTGAAAGGGGGAGCCATGAATTGAGCGTTGACAGCGGGCCACGGCGGTCCGAAGGCTCAGGTGGTTGTCAGCCATAAGTTTAGCTCAGCTCTTTGAGTAATTTGTCACGCCTCGCTCAGCCCCTGCTGGGCCAGCACGTGCCAGCTTAGTGTCAGAGTGCCTGTTCGCCAGACGGCCACTCAGGCCTAACGCCCTGCTGTTCCTCAGACCAGCGGCTTGCTGGGGCCATACACGGAGGGCCGAGCCTTGGCGACAGCCAAGTGCTGTGCAGAATAAGCGTGTTCATAATGAGACGTGAATGGCATTAGTAGGTCCCTCTAGAATTGGGTCTGAGCAGGCGCCTCTTGCTGAGGAAGTTTGGCAGTCTGTTCATTAAGGCAAGTCACCAGGAGTTCAGCCCACAGCCGTGGAGCTAGTTCTGGCTCATGCTGCCCAGGCCTGGGGCTGTTGTGACCATCTATAGGACAGATTATAAATCATCAGAGGGTCTACTTTTGAACTCTTCAAACTCATTTCTTCTTCTTTTTTTTTATTTTAAAGTTGCATAAAACAAGCTTAAAGAGAAATTCTAGTATTGCTTTCCATGAAGAGCATGCCCTATCTCTGGGAAACCCCAAACAGTAACCCCTAGTCTCATATGTCTTTTGAATACTTGAAATAGAATGGACAGAGGAACTGAGTTGTTATTTTTTAATTAATTAAAATTTAAATCTAGATAGCCACATGTGATACATGGCTACCATATCAGATGGCACAGATCTAGATTATCTCTGGTCACCTCTTGGTGTGAAATCATCCTTGAAAATAACAGAGTAGGAAGAGGAAGAATCCGCATTTAGAAATCAATGTGCATACTTTACCAAAAGAAAATAGAAAAGTGCATGCCTATTTTAAAACACAGACTCTACTGGAAGCTAATTGGAAAGGTATAATTATTACCAACTTACATTTTTCAAGAGGCCATCTTGAAAAGGTAGTCTTAAGATAAAGTGAGAAATACTAAAATTACTTTTTCCTCTCTTGGAGCTACAAATTACAAACTGATGTTGATCCACATTCCCTATTTCCTGAAGAATTAGCACAATTTTCAAAATGACCAAAACACATCTTTTAACTTTTGCATTGATAATAAAGAAGGGGAAAATGAGACATCATGCCGACTTCCCCAAGTGTTAATTCATAAAGTCGTACGTGTGGTGCCTTCATCCATTGTCAGATTGTTCTGACGTTATCCTGTTATTGGAAGTGCATGATTCACCTTCTGAGGAAACAGAAGCCACACACAAAAGGGGAAGATTTGCTTTCTGCCCTGTGAAAGACTGCCACACGCAGGGGTCCTATTAAGACAGCTGGAAAGTTGCTTCAGCGTGTTACGCCTATAAGTTTTATTGGTGACTGGTTTTTGATTACACATTTGAATGTTGTGTGTTCCAGACTGCAATTTTAATTAAAAGGCAATAGTCTTTTTTTTCTCTCAATTGCATTGTGCACTGTTTGCTAGATTCTCCTACATATTAATTCTGATTTTCTAATATTTAGAGTTTATTTTGGTTAGTGGCTCTGTGGTCCCTTCAGACTATACCTTCTGGCCTTTTCTCTTCGCAGTAACTTGCATTTTCTTATTTTTTTAAAAATGTGTTCACCCTCATATTACCAGTTCTTGCTTGAAGTATCTGTTCATTATGTCCGTAATCTCACAAGAATGTTTTATCCACCCAAATAGAAAATGAAGATCCAGGGTTGTCTCACAATGGTCAACAGAAGGAAATGCCATTGCAATCAATGTTTCTTGTTTTTGTTTGCTTAAGTGGATCTTACTGATGCCTTGATGTTATTCTGTAACCATTAGTTTTTGTATTTTTTAGTGGAGCTAGTTTTGAATGTATTTAAAATTTAAGAGAAACTTAAGTGTTAAAATCCATATCTTACTAATTATGATGAATATTTAATTTTCTGACAAAATGCTAAAGAGATTGCAAAATACTGTTCTTTACACACAAACAGCAAAGTTGCATAAGTGTATTTAAAACAAAGTAGACTGTCACTGCTATGCATGCTGTTTTGCAAATGCATTTGTCTCCTTAACCGATTACTTCAGCTATGAAGAGAGAGCGCTGTATCTCGAAGCAATAATTCAGAACCACCGAGAAGTCATGACATTTGAGGATTTCGCAGCTCAAGTCTTTTCTCCCTCTCCCAGCTACTCCCTCAGTGGAACGGGTGAGTGTCTACATTATTCTCCTCTCACACGCTTAAGATGCATTCGAGTAGCAGATGTACACCTGTTTTTCACAGATAAATGCTTGCAAATTTAAGAAGAGCATTCTCCTTCTGAATCAACTAATGAATATCAAAAGGAATGATGACATTCATTTTAATTTGTTTTGTATCCGAGCTGTTCACTCCATTCCTTTTTTCAGCTATCCTGTTAACCCCCGAATCTAGCAAGGTTAATGAACTTTTTCTCAGTAATGTGCTCTGGTTCATTCAGGAGTGTGGGTTTCTTGCTGAGCTGGGAACATGTTGTTTAAAAGCGATGCCCGAATCAGTGCTTACTTATCAAAAAAGAGTTCCTCACAGTCGAAGCCGTTGCTACTAATGCTAAATGGGGATTATGCTGCCGAGATACTAGGGTCAGGGATTAATGCAGGAGACATGGAAGGACAGTGTCCCCAGGCCCATCATTACAGAGTGCGGCAAGCACACTTCTCTCTGGAGTGGTCGGTGTCATGTGGACAAGCCGCTGACTAGAGCAGCACCTGGTGTGGAAACCATTTAGAAACTGGCTTACAATCATTTTCATGTATTAGGCCACTGGCAAATTGCAAACATTGCCATAGATTTCCTTATTTCTAGGCACTTAACTCTTTTTACATTTCCAATTTGAAAAAAAATATTTACACTGCCACTTAACAAGATGATACGATTACTGTAAGTTCTTTTTTCAAAGACTAGTATTATTACTTGTAAATTTTTGCATGTAGTCATAGATTAATTGCCTTTCAGACAGTAAATAGGATATTTAGTGATCACATGTTGAAACCCTCAATGCAGGGCTTCCAGTCATCTTCCTCGGATTTCAACCAACCCGTGAGAGTGCTTAATAGATTTCTAACCTGTGTCAATTGTCTCTGAACACTGCCTCACTTCTCCTATTCTGACTTGTTAACAAATATCTTACACACAAAGTGAAAAAAATTAAATTCGGTGAAATAAATCACTTACAAATAAAATCAGCCATGCATCATTGTTTAACATCGCTGGCTTCAATCCTTGCCTCTCGGAGCTTTGTTGGGAGATAAGAGGGAGAGGCATGCGCTTGCACGGGGAGCCAGGAGCAGCAGGCAGAAGGCTTGGGAAGATAAGCAAGCTGGCAGAGGTGCGGGAGCAGCGATTTACATAATCACGCCTCTGCTTCCTGGTGAGGCGTCAAGAAACACTGGGATGGCCTCTATTGATCTTTGTTGAACTGGAATACTAAACAACATGAGAAAAGCTTATAACTTAAAGCTTTGATTAATGTTTCTTACATTAAAAAAGTAGAACAGCTGTGAATTGAATTCTTTTATACACTCTGCCAACATTCTATGACCAAAAAAAAAAAAAAAATCTGTTTCAATGGAAATGAAGGTTTCATACCCAGACTGGCTAGAGGTTTAAAATTTTTTCTGGTTTTTTTTGCTTAAAGAACATGAAGGATCTGTAGCAAGCTGATTTTTTTAAAGATCTCCTTCAGCTTTTTCCCATCCTCATGAGATATTGGGACTTGATTTTTCAGTGCAGGATTTTTTTTCAAAAAAAAAAAAAACTCTTGAAAAAGCATTTCATTTCTAAAAATTAAAGGAAAAATTTAAATAATTACATTTTTTACATTCCTTGACTGTTATATTCTTAAGGTTGCATATTAAGATGTTATCAAAACAAATAATGATGGGCTTTATTTTCTATGAATATTTTAGCCTCTATATAAATTAATTTGATCTTTTCCCAAAATTTCATAATTATTTAAACCAATTCAATTGAGTCAGTGTGTAGGTAACACCTTAAGTGAGACCCTAGGAATAATTTAATATTTTATGACATCTACTTAGAGAGGATTGTTAATGGGCTTGAAAAGGTCATATTCTTTATAGAGTTACCTACCAGAATAGATTCCAACAGAATGTGAGTATGGGGATTGGAACTTTTACAAAAGGAACTTGAAATCCAATGCCAGATATCAAAAACAGATGCTACTTCTTCATCTTGTCAGATTAACATCAGTATTATGTTTCATAATGTTCATGGTTTAGGGAATTCAGTGTTGAGTGATAAAATCTTTTATACATATATCACATCTATCCTTCAGTATGATTTTAAGTCTGTGCATAATGTTCTCTTTTAACACTTTGTGTATCTAACCTTAAATGATTAAGAAGAAAGGGAAAATGATTTGAACTGGAATTGTGGGGGTGGTATAATGAGGATGTAACATGTCAGCACCACATACAGTCAGATTCTCAGAACCCCATCCTCTTCTTATTTATACATCAGCTTTGCTTTTGAGGAATCCTTATCCCCATCTCTTAGTACTTTTACAGATGAAAATGTTTTTTATTTATTCATAGCATTTGTTTTTGTTTTTTTGTTTTCCATGGGACAAGTACAATCAAACCCAGATGAGCCAGGCAGCTTAAAGTAAGAAATTGAGGTGAAGTCTGCCCTTCCAAGCAACAAGCCAACTGGAAAAATCGACCCTGAGCAGCTTAAGCTCCCACAGTGCACTTAGGACCCAATCAGACCATCTCTGGCCATCATTGTCATCAAAGCAGGCCTTGGGCTTCTGCTCACATGCATATGCACAATCTGAGGAATTAGGCGCTCCTAGGTTTTGTTTTGTTTTGTTTTTTGGTATATGCATAACAAAAAGCTTTATCCTTAAGAAAGAGGGAGAGTCACCTGAGTAGTGTATTTATTCCACACTATATTTGTTATACATGGCATGCAGCCCCCACTGCTAAAAGAAAGGCCTCCCTATCAGCCTTTGAAAAGAGATGTGTTGTGCCCAGAGATGCCACTGTTGGGAAATGCCCTGTTCCCAGAGCTTCCCTGCCCAGGTGCTATCGCTCATCTATCCAAGGAGCCCTGGGGAGTGGGTGGCCAAAGGAAGTGCTTCTATCCATGATGTCCTGTCAACTGCAGCTAGGGTGGAAAGCTGATACATAAGTGCTTAGCTTTTGTCAAAGGGCTTTAAGAAAAAAATATATATATATTCATTTTCCAAATAAGAAAATGTTATTTTAAAACTACCTTGCTTCTTTCTGTCAATAACCCATTACACAGTTGGTATTTGAACAACTTTTTACCTAACTTGTGGTTTGCCTTCCCTATTGACCAATAATAAACCAATGTTATAATATTAACTGTTTTATTACTATAGTTAATATAATATAATTAATAAAATGGTTAATATTTTAACCATTATTTAAATATTTGTTGCAATTAACACGTATATGTTCTATGCATACATGTTTATATGCATGTAACCCACATGCCTATGTGGTATCATGTTTTCAAGCATGTTACCAAGGAAGGGGGCCAGCAGAAAGGCCTATAAAGGGTTAACTGAAATGGGCACCCTTAAGTGCTGGGGAGGGACTGATGTAATCACTGCAGCTCACAGCCAAGTGCATCTGTTCACCATGAGGTCATTCTTCTGCATGCTAATGAGTTGGAGAATCTAGTCTAATGTTTGACATTATCAAAAAGGACATAAATAGTGTAAATCTTTAGTTTTTGGAAGCTCCTCCTAAAAATCAAAAGAGAAAAGAAACTTTTGCTTGGACTTGAGATATTTTTTCTTGAACCACTCTAGAGATTGTACCTGAACTTTAAAATCTGGGAGGAATCCACTTGTCTCTGTTGATAATCCCCAAATCGCTATTAGTCATAACTAGCAATTTTGCAGTCAAAGACTATAGGTATGTTTAATTTTAATGTCTAGTTTTAAGCAGTTCCAAGTACCTTGATCAGAAGTTTATAAAGATGGGTTTTTACCAAAGAATGTCCAAAACTAAATTAAATGAGAGTTGTTCCCATTGTTCCCCGATTGACTTGCATTTGTTGAAGATGCCAATGCTGGTTATGGTTCCTTTCTACTCCAATATTGCTATAGAGGGCCAGCAGAGGGAGCACAGGTCTTTGTTTATTTGTTAGCCCTCATAAACACAGCATTTGATTTTGCTCAGACATGGTCAGTAATACTTTCTCCTTCATGATAAGCTGAATTGGAAAGGATCCAGGACTTAGAACAAGTGGGAGGAATTGCTTCATTCTGCTTCATCCAGTTCTGCCACTTTCATGAAGGTCCTATTTGGAGTTTAAAACAGATAAATCGCTGTCAGTATTAGGATGCTACTGCCACGCCTACCATATCCCCAAACTGCAAACTTTCATCTTTCTCACAATGGTATGGAAAGCCCTCTTGAAAGAGATTATTATGTTCATATACCTCATAGAACATAATTTTATAATACTTTTCCACAACAAAATCATTACAGGAAGTTCACAGAAACTTTACTAGAAAACAGCTGGTGCCATTGTGTCTTGCTTGGTAGCCAATAAAATTTACTCACAAAGCTGGAGACAGAGCACTCCTGTCACACATTGGCACCAGAGTGAATCTGGGATGGAGATGATGCATGAACTAGTTGTGTGACTCACAGGCCTCTTCCCCTAAGGGTAAAGCTATACCATCTTTCTCTTGCTGAGTCCTTCATACCATACCCTGTGGTTACATGTGCAAGGTGTTGCAGGCTTGTCAATCTGAGTGCAGATCCTAATAGGAAGATTTTGTTGACCCTTTCACTGGTAAGTTAATAATTCCAGGAGCTGGGGTTGTGGTAGAGTGCTTGCTTAGCACTTGTGATCCTCAGCACCACATAAAAATAAATAAAGATATTGTATCCACCTAAAACTAAAAAATAAATATTTAAAATTTAAAAAATGTAGCTTCCAGAAACAAAGTAAATCCTAACCCTAATCCCCAAAAATATTTTCTCCATTCCTTGAAAGATGGTCCTATTACAGATTCTTTCAGTACTGATTCTCCTCCTCTCCATCTCCCTCATGCCTCCTACTAAAATGGTCCTAATAAAGTTTTGATTAATAGCACATATCATGCCTCTTATGTGTTTAGCTCTATCGTAACTTTGCTGACTCCTTCAAAGAACATCATAGAA